ATCCAAAATAGCTTCCCCATTCTCGTTTCTCTCCCCAAAACCATGACCACCATGAAAACCTCCATAGTTGCCTGTCTCCCTGCCCACGTGTCCATTTAAGTCTCCTCCTATAAATAACTTCTCTGTCTGAGCAATTCCTTGCACCAAGTCTCCAAGATCTTCCCAAAATTTCTCCTTCGAACTCGTATCCAACCCTACTTGAGGTGCGTACGCACTAATCACATTGATAAGTTCTTGTCCTATTACAATCTTGATTGCCATGATTCTATCTCCTACCCTCTTGACATCTACAACATCTTGTACCAAGGTCTTGTCCACGATGATGCCAACACCGTTTCTCGTTCTAACATATAAAAATTAGTAGTGGGTACTACTCCTAATTTTGATTGAGAAATTGTTAATCATGTTTGTATATGCTTATTTTTTCCTACTTCCTAGATATTCCCTTACATAAACTACACAAACCACATGAATTTTGTGCAAACAACCATTAAGTCTTACCCAATCGATACTTAGTGGCGAGGCTAGAAAGTTAGCTCACCAGAGACATGACTAAGTAGTGGTGGATGCAGGCTATCCTCATTGCATCCAAACAATATTGTGCAACGCCAAATTTTATTTTTCAATGTTTTCGATGAGGCATTTCATCGAGCACTTAACCGATCCATACTATCGTGTGCTTAGTGTACATCCCCATTATTTAGTGCTCTTTAATTGTGTCTTTAGGTCAATATTGTTATAGGCCAAACAAAGAGTAAATCAAATATGTATAGGGCTGGGAGCTCAAATTTACAAGACGACTGGAAAAATGAATGGTTAATGAGTCTTTTATTATTTTAAGAAAAAATGACTAACTTTAAACTTTATTAAAAAAATGGTGTCGTTTCGCTAAGAACATATACTTTTTTTCCTTAGTGGTCTTGGATGAGAATCGAGTGAGAGTTGTACTAGAAAAATGTCGATGTTGTTTAGCTTTTATTGCACTCGTCTCTTTCACGAAAAATGAAGTGTATATTTGTTGAACCCAAAAAAAACTGAGAGCCCCCTGGCTCTTCATCAAATTCGCCCCTGCTGGCACCAGTTTAATCACTCAAGTCTAATACTGAGTTGGATTAGGCTCAATGAACGTATACACAGGCATCCAATGCATGTAATTTTTATCTCAAAAGGCATCAATGTTGTTTATACAGTGCCTAACTTGAATATTGTTGTGGTACTTTTCCGGATTAACCCCATTCACATTCATAACTTGTATCTAGCCACACAACCCCGACCCAAAATATCATCAAGAAAAAAAAATGTGACCGAACCTGAGCAACAGTCTTTCCCCGAGCCTCTGCTATATCCTGAAGCACTTTGCTTTCCAAAACATGATTGGTGCCCCAACTGGAACCAATTGCACCCAGAGGAGAGAATGCAGTCACCACTATACCATTGTCTTTGCAGAAGTCTCTCAGCTTCTTCTGTTGCCAGAATGGACTCAACTCAACCTATATTTACACATGCACACACACTAACATATTAAAGACTGAAAAAAGGGGGAAAAAAATCAATTTTCAGACACAAATGAAGCAATACAGTAGGTTGAAAAATGGACTTACTTGATTTACAGAGGGAGGAATGGAAGCAAAAGTGAATAAATTTTCAATCTTTTTGCTAGAGAAGTTGCTGACTCCAATGGATTTGGTGAGGCCAAGTCTTTGAGATTCTTCCATGGCTGCCCACACACCTTTGAAGTCCATAGGCATAAGGTCAACTAATTGGAGCACCAATTCTCCTGGCTTGGCACTGATAGGCCAGTGAATCAGATACAAGTCAAGGTACTCCAATTGAAGATTCCTGCACATTATCATACAATCAAATCATCACCTAATAAACTCCATTTCGTCCAAGTGATGTTTTGAGAAGAAATTATTGTGTTCGAGAGTTAAACTAGGTGGACTGATCAACCTACTAACAAATGAACGAGTCTTTCTATTGAGAAATACTTTAGGGCAACATGCCCCTTCTCTCGCAAAAACACACACGCCTTTTTAGTTAATTCGACTTCACGCGACAATTGAAGAAGGTTTAGGTTCCAATATAAAATCAATTGACAATATGAAAATTAGTTCAATCTCTTATAAAATCAATTGTTCCTCACCAATGTGGGACTTTGTCCTCACATTCTCACACTCTTTCACATGTGGTGAATTTTCAAGCCTAACATATGGACAATACAATCGGGGTAACGTGGAGCACGTGTGGCCATTGAGCTTCACACATAGGCCAACCTGTTCAGATGAATGAAGAAATTGAGGTTCTACTATAAAACCAATTAGTAATATGGTAGTAGCTCAATCTCTTGTAAACCCTTACATGATTTAGTCTATCACCGATGTAGGACTTTGTCACTTTCTCACAACTCCTTATTGCAGAGTCCTAAAAATCTAACATCTCTAGTCTATTTTCGGGAGGCACTTGGTCCAAGTACAAACTTTAGTGCAAGGGTTCCAAAATTCGACTGTTGGACACAAAAAATTTACCTACACATGGAATGCTACCGTTACATTATTTAAAATCAATTATACTCAACAATGCATTTTAACTTTCATTCGAAACAGTATATAATTAGTTTGAGATACTGTCGCAATCAGATATAGATAAGTAGTGATTTTCCATTACTACTTAGTACTTACTGAAGTGATTTCTTGATAGCAGGAATGACATGATCAGGGTGAGCATCATTGCACCACAGCTTTGAAGTGATGAAGAGCTGGTCTCTGGAATCAACAAGGCCAAGCTTGAGAGCTTCCTTAATGGCTTCGCCCAGAGTCTGCTCGGAGCCATATATCGAAGCCGTATCAAAATGCCTGTAGCCGAGCTTGATGGCCTCAACCACTGCCATTTTCAACGTGTCAGGCTGTAAGTTGTCGGCCGCCGTGCCGAAGGCGAGCACGGGCATGCTTTTGGGGCCGGCGGAGGAGTCGAGCACCACTTCCGGGATTTGGGTTGCTGCCGCCATCTTTGAAAACTCGAGTATTGAATTGAAGTTTGCTTTTTTTATTTTTAGTTCCAGGTGAAGTTTGCTTTTAAACCACAAGATTTTCTGGTATTTTTGGGTCTGCAATCGTCATCGATTATGTAACTCTCGAACTCCCTTATTAATGCTTCATTACAAAACTGAATCGTCAACGATTATATAACTCTCAAAGGCTAACCAAATTCCATTTGACTACTTTTTTTAATGTTGACGGTCGTTTTAGACCCTTAATATATAGGGTTATTACACAAACATCCCTTAAAATTTATCGAATTTTCACAAAACATCCTTACGTTTAAGACATTACATAACACCCCCTCCAGTTTAATTCGTTTTCATATAACCCCTTAAGTAAAAAATTAGCTTAGAAATACCCTTATTAATTACTTGAATTGAAACTAATAAAAAAAATTAATTATATAAAAAAAATTATAAAACATTAAACATCTAAAAAACAAGAAGAAGACCATGTGGACAAAACAAATTAAGAAAAAAACTTAATTATTACTTGGAAATAATCTAAATAATCTATTAATAAAACCGTACTTGTCAATCAAAACTCCATAAAATTACCATTCTAACCCTCTTATCAAGATTGAACAAAAAAACATGAACAATTTAGTAATTACACCCAACATAAATTTTGTTGTTTTTTACACCAACCTCACAACCATGTAAACATAACATACCATATTTACAAAATAAAAATAAAAAACCCCACTTCTTTCCTCCTCTTCCTCCCTCTGCATTCCCCACGTTCTTCCACCCTCTCCTTTTATTTTCATTCTTCTTTTGCTTTTTTTGAATGTCATCCCGCTCAATAATGATAAGTTGTAGTAAAATAAAAAGCAAATTTAGTTGCAGACGCAGAGGGTGTGGGGTGATTGCTAGTATTTTATTAAAACAAGAAGTTGTTCATCTTCTTCTTTCCCTCCCACCCGATTGAGCAACCGCCTCCATCTCCATATCCTCATTCTTCCTCCATCACCACCACCCATTCAAACTTTCAACAAACCAAAAAACTATCTCTGTCTTATAAAATAATAATTTGGTAATCAAAATCAAATCCCTACTATTTGGTTCCGCACTAAACTAGGAAGAAGAAATCATAGAAGCAACGGAGAAGGATTTGTGGAAGCGGGGGAAGTTGGGGGATTGGATGACTTTGGAGGGGGATTAGAAATGGAAGGAAGGGGAGATTTGGGGGGCTGAGAGGGGTTGGAGGACAGGGGAGATTTGTCCACATGGTCTTCTTCTTGTGTTTTTTTGAAGTATTTAATGTTCTATAACTTTTTTTATAAAATTATAAAGTATTTCTTTATTAATTTTAAGTAATTAATAAAGGTAGTAAACTTATGAACAAATTTTGACTGGGGTTGTATGAAAGATAATTAAAGCCTGAGGGGATGTTAATGTAATGTCTCAAACGGGAAGGAGTTTTGTGAAAACTCGAAAATCTTAGAGTGTCATGGTCTAATTAAACCTAATATAATATGACTTGGAGAAAGCCCATGAAAGGAAAAGAAAATCAGAGTTTTGGGCTTCTGAGCTATTTGAACCAGATGAATGAACTATCACTGCTCAACAGTCTAGATCAAGTATCAACAAAGAATAAGAGCATTTATTCAAAAAAGTACTTTCCAATCGGATGAAGAAAGTTGGTAAACTGATAAATTTATAGCACGAAGGCCCTAAGCGCTCGGGGCACTGTTTTCTCAACCACCCAAAGCCCAGAATAGCACTCGGCACGCGTTGGCCCAGAATACCTCGCAACTAGCCCTGAGAAAATGTCAATTCATCTCCGTTTGTCGACCGAGTAAGGAAGAGTAGCCAGTAAGATCAGTCGACATATCTTAATGCGAGAACGGTGACTTGAGAGCCCATGAGTTCTGGGGCTTATTAAGGCCCATATAAGAGGGACGAGTACCTCTTACAAGCGATCGGACAAAAAATGAAAAGAAGAGATCACACCATTACAAAACACTTGTAACCTATATCAATATATACAGAGAGCACTACAATGGACGTAGCCAGTTTGGGGTGAACCACTTAAACCTTGTTGACAACTACTTAAAGTCTTTATCTCGAGCTCATCAAGAGTTAACCATACTGATCTTTGTTGACCTCTTAATTTTGAGCGTTAACAAATGTATTGTTAACAATCTTCTCACTTAATTTTTTTTTTTGTTCTTATTCCACAGTGTTGCACACTAATCTAAATTGTCTAAAAATCATATATTTTAAAATTAACTAAATTTGAGATCTTTTAATCATTTTCCCCATTAAAAATTGAAAACCTTCTTGTTCCTTCTTGCCTGTAGAACTCTTCAAAAAACTCTGCATACTCGTAGCTCCGATGCAATGCAGGGTGCTCCTCATCAATCAAACCCTCCATTGGACCATTCACAGTGTCCCTGTTGGGTCCATAAAACATTGCCATTGACAGACGCGGCTGAGTTTTGTTGGTCACTAGACTCACTGCCTTATGGTGCATTGTTATACCTTCCATTACTCAAAACCTACATAAAAAAGAGAGATGGATTAAATTACCCCATAAAATGTAAAGTACGTTTAAATAGAATAAAACTGTATATAAATCACGGTTTAGTACTCATGTATTGTTTGTTTATATTTGCCGTTTTTGTTTTTAAAAGTTTGTAAGCGGTTTTAAGTCACCTGAATTTGGTCACCTAGATTGATAACAAAGGCATTGGGGAGAGAATCAACAGCAACCCATTTCCCATCTTTGATTACTTGAAGGCCAGTCACTCCCTCTGTTTGCCTAAGTACTGTGAGTGTATTGAGAGAGCAGTATGGACAGCTAGTCCAAGTGTGAGCGACATGGTGGATGGTAGTTTCCTTGTGCTTTGAGAGTAGGATTCTCACCCAGCTTCTTTTGTGAGCAGTCCTCCTCTAGCCCAAGCCCTCGGGATATCAATCCCAAAATCGTATTCATCAATGTCCAATCTCTCTTGCATACTCGGCAAAAACCTCACTAACCAAAACCGCCAAACACAAAGTGAAGAGATAGAATTAGAACCGGTTACAAACTTTTAATAAAATTAGAATCATATGACACAAAACAGACCATAAAATATATATAATTTACGGTGTACTGCTCCTTTATTGACATCTTGCCAAGTTTTTTTATTAAAAGCGGTCACTAGTTACATTTGTGTTAGAAAACTACATAAAATTAGCACAAACTAAAAATTAAGCTGCTAAGCAAACATGGGTGTGCTCATTGGTTATTCACCTAGAGCTCAAACTTCCCTCTCCGCAGTTTAGATTAGTTTAGAGTATAACATATCACTCATATAAAAAGAATGAAATTAAGCTGGTACCGGTATTGGGGAGGATTTTCAGGTAAAGAATTGAGAGGAAGCCAAAGATGAGAGAGAAGGGTTCACTCCACATAGTGACCTTTTGCTCTTGCGCTTCAACTTTGAGGTAGTAATTGAAAAGCTTCACTTACTTGGAGTGATCTGTGGTAAAGTATTTTGGCCTTTCTTCAGGAGGCAATTTGAAGAACTGGTTTACGGCAGACATAGTTCCTCAGGCGCTCCATGGTCGATGGTCTGGAAAAATCCGTACTCCATCTCCATTGTTGCTGCTGCCTTGGTCGTTCAAATCAATGGTGGGGATTGATTCCAGAGCTGAAACATTTGGGAGGTGTGGCCTGTGATTCTCTCGGAGAATGAAGTTTGGAGAGAGGGATAGAGGAGTGGTGTCTTTTGCCATTTGGAAGGATGCCATCTTTTGATGAAGGACTGTTTGAGTTTGATCGGGTGACCTAAATGGAATTATTGTACGGACAAGGACACAATTCTGGGTAGTTGACGAGTGGGGTAGTTGTGTGTCATGCGCAAGCAGCCAACCGAACTAATTCATAGGTAAAGGATTGAAATCAGCGCGAGTGGATGTGCACACTGTTATCACCATTGTACCGTGACTAACATGGAGTAATCCAATCTCCTAATACAAAGTGGTACACCACGTGTTACTATACAAATTGTGGGATATGTATCTTAAAAAGTTCATAACTTAAAAAATAAAATTTCTCATCATTTATATAAAAACACGTGGTGTACCACTCGTGTTCCGGTCACAACAAAAAATTTCTCCTGGACAACACCATCGACCCTTGTATGTTCTGTTTTCATGTTTCAATCGAATCCTAATCCCTTGGAAGTAGTCTACACCAAACAAATGGTAAAAAACCCAACCTATCCGTTTGATCGACCTTACAATTTCATACATTTCAGAATGCAGAATCAGAAACACAGATCAGACACAGCTCACAGCTGTTGCTCTCCGTGGCCTATACGTGGGATCCAACACAATATATTACCACTTTTCCGCACATCACTGTAAAACGTTATTTTCTCTGTCAAAAGTCGATGGCCTCTAGTGCCACATTTCGATTTCGAACAAGGACCAGATCATAAGAACCACACGTGGTGGGGGCAGGGTAGGAGGATGATCAAACCTAAAGCCACTTTAATCATATCTTAATCTATTGATTAATTTACCCACAAGATATTCAAGATAATATGCAATGCTCACATCTCTTTCAGATTGGTCTGGTACTTTGCCTAAGCAAATAAATAAGTTAGATTACAAGGTATCTTTATGTCAACAATATTTCAGATTCGGCCACCTGATCAATACCAATCAAACCGACATTATTAGCATTAAGTGACATGTGTCGTCATTTGGTATGTTGGATGCAATGGACAGATGGAATCATTAGATGTATTGAGTTGTTAGCTTTGTTAGAAATTTGTTAGGTTGTTAAGTGTGCGAGGTTATGGATATATAGCTAGACTATTGTAACAGATAACATCAATCAATTCAAGAGCTTTCATTTTCTTCTACAATCTCTCTTGTTTCTCTCTATCATCTTCTTCTTTGCCAATTCTTAATAATTACAACTTAATTATCTATACAACTTAATGGATGTTTAGTTTTATTACCAAAAAATGTCGATGCAATTAAAATGTAGTTGTTTCATATAATTAAAAGTTAGAATTTTTTTATTAAGCTTCCGACATTTAATTACATTTTTCAAATCTTATATCTCAAGATTCTCCAAATATAAATGGAACTTCATAATTTTGTTTTTATGTTTTTTGTGAGAGGGGCCGGGGAATCTCATCCCCTGAATGCTACGTGAGTGGAATGAACTGGAGAGCCTTCTTTACCAATAAAAAATCATTCCATCGATATTTATTTATCTTTCCCTTTTCCAAGAGAGTGTCCCATCTCCATCAGCTGTCATCATTCTTCCTGTATTATATAGTTTAAAAATACTGGAATTTAAACTAATTACGTGCAGCATCGTGAACCAGTGTAGCTAGGTTACATACAATATCCGGCTGGCATCTATGTGACAAATGTGTATTTTTATGGTTCAGTCCCATTTTATTCGTTCAATAAACATTTGGGTACTAATATTTGATAAGTTCTTGTAAATCTTTAATGCATGATGACAAATGTAGGATAATTATAGGGAAGAAAACTATGTTGCAAACAAATTAGCAGAAATTCGTTCTTCTTTAAAGTATAACTGTCATATTTCTTAGGCTTCTCCCGTTAGTGTTAGTGGTTTAGCTCAGAGACATTTATGAAGTATCGCTAGACCCATATTAGATTTTCATTTGTAAAAAGAAATAAAAATTGTGATTTGATACCCAATGTATATAATGAATGGTCCCTCGATGCTTCCAAACTATATCGCTATTGCATATTTGGAATCATATGTTTATTTGATTTGATGTGAAATCACCATGCATGGTCCACCTCATCTCTTAAATTCTCCTGTACTTCAACCGCCTTCCCATCCCATCCACATTCAATCGCAGCAAGCCATCGATCGAATCTGGTCAAGAAAATGTTTTTGTCATTGCGGTCATGCATGTATGGACCATACGTTATAACCATCATAAACTCCATTTTTCGTAAAGGTTAAATATGCCGAAGCATATTGCTGTCCGAGATTAGAAATGCCAACAAAGAAGAAAGGAACCCAAGAGGCTTGTGTGTGTAAATATCTTGATTTTAAGTTTTGAAAATCTGGGCAGGTAAGGTCGTAGAAATAGTACTACTGATCTTTAAACAATAATAATATTTAGATTCACAAAATTGAAACTTGTTGACATATTTTCAGATAAAAGTTGTCTTACGTGAGTAATTAATACAATTTAAACCACAAACTAGACATACTGCTAACCCTCTCTTCTATATGTAGTTCTCGCCTCCAATTGGAGGACATACATTTATTAAATAATGTTAATTTTTGTGTATCTAAATATTATGATTAGTCTTAACATTGTAACGTAGGACCTTACAAATATAAGAGTGTCAACAAGCGCGGGTCTTGCATTCCACATCTTTCAAATAAGCCACCCAAGTTAGTTTACCGGTGAGTGTAAATAATTAAGGTGGTAGGTCAGAGTAGGCCTGTGTTTTGGTACTAAGGTGATTCTGATAAAAACTGGTATAAAAAAAGCTGGAAGCTATTTTTGTGTTTGGTAAACATTCAGCTTCAGCTTTTTTTTCACAGTTTTGGGTAAAAAAAGCCAAAAATAAGAAGCTGCAAAATCCAGCTTTGAAAAACCGGCTTTTTTTTCACATTTGTTTTACATAAAAGTTTACCAAACACTATAATACAGTTTTTTTTTCTTTTAAAAGCACTTTTACAAAAAAATTTACCAAACACTCTGCTGCTTTATTTCACAGTTGCTTATTCTCACATCACATCAGAAGTAGTTTTTTTTTCAAAGCACAGTAATACCAAATCAGCTCTAAGTTTGTTCAAAACCTTGGAATGTAAAAAAAATAAGTACAAAAACAGTAATACTACGTATATTATCATTTATATCATATTTTTAATTTAAATTTAATTTGCGTGTATTGGTATTCTCTACTACTATTAGAGATGATACAAATAATTGTACAAATATATGGTAACAACACAACATCATTTACATATCCCAGAACATAAATTAAAGTTTAATTTCGAGAAAAAAAAACCTTTTGTGCATAAAGGATTGAAGATTATATAAATCAATTTAACCAAAAGCTATGGCTTTGCCTTGGTTAACTAGTTCCAAATAACATAATCGATTCATGAAGTATAATTTGCAAAAAGAATTAGCGATACTTAGTACTTACATGCTGCAAGCTTATCAGTTCTATATCCCTCAGAAATTGATCTCGATCGCACTCGCTCTGCTGTTTTCCAGATCATCATCCTGTTTGTTTCATAAACCTGCAGTACGTCCACGATGTTAAAAATATTGATAAAAAGATTTACATATACACTTACAAACTTGATTAACTACTTCTGCAAAAGAGAAAAAAAGGAAGTGGAATTTACGACGAACGAAGAGACACGAGTCAGAATGTCAGATGGGGATGGGGTTTGTTTATCCCACGTAAAAGCTTAGAGCGACACATAACAAACACGGTGGACACTCTAATCACACACCAAACGCTACGTGTCACGGAAGTACAAGGAATCTGACAGAAACCTAACAGAGGTTACGCACTTAACGACAATGCAATGCACAACACCCAACGGCGTTTAACGGGACGCTAATGGAAAACAGCCATGGAAAGAACTCTAGTGCAGAAGCAACGGCTATACAAAGACTATAACAAAAGAAAAAGAAAATGAAAATGAGAGAAAAAGGGAAGGATTGCAAAGGAAAAAGAGCACTCACCATGTATGTATTTGTGTGCACACTGAAAAAACGAAATAGGACTAAAGTTCATTAATCGCCACGGATATTCAAAAGCAGTCCATCTGATGAACGATTACAGCTCCATATTTCCAATTACATCATGATTGATCCGATATATTATATAACTGATATTTTTTTGTGTTTTTAAATTTTAGGGTTTTGTAGAATTTAACTTGTTTTAATCGGCCGTGGCATATTTGTAATTTTGTAGTCCAGAACTCCGACCATGCAAAGGATGCTATTGCCAGTGATTGCCGTTGTGAACGAGGTAGGGACGACTACCGGTAGTACTTGCAGGTTTGTTGCTTCCGTGGCCTTGGCGAGCATGGTAAATATTAGCACAGTGAGGAACCTTGGAGGGGGGTCTCTGAAACGGCACCGTTGACGGGGATGGCTGGGGCGGCATTTGACGGAGGCAACGGTCAACGGGAGTGGAGGACGGCATGGGAAATCTTGGGGTGGACCCGGAAGCAGCACTGAAGTAGTTATTTGACGACGAGGAGTTGCCAGAGGACGACGTCGTTGAGGCGGCGGAGGCCGACGAAGTTGAAGGGGATGAAATGCTTTTGGGTGTCCTGGCGGTGGGGATGAGTGAGAGGAATGCTCTGATCTTCATATTAGCGGAAGAGGCTGCTCTATCGTATTCCTCGATGAGATTAACGAGATCCTCATCGGACTTGATGGACACGAGGGCGTCGAGATCTTCGGTGGGTAGTTGACAGCGGAGACTAACCGCCGTCACGGATGGCCCACACAACTCAGTCAGCTTGGACGACAGCTCTGTTACACAACCACACACCTAAATTCAATATAACGTCCTCCGAACAAAAGACTAGAAAAAATGGGGGAATTTATACATAAACTGACCGGAAAAGGAAATAGAGCGGGGAACGGCGAGTACACGGGTTTCGCCGCCAAGGTAACGGAGCTTGCCGTCGGGGTAACGGGGGAGGATTTTGCCGCCGTAGCTGCAGAGGAATTTGATGGTGGTGACCTTGGTGAGGTCAGGCGAGGGTCCGACCATGATTTTAATACTAGGGTTTTGATTCGACTACTAACTAGGAGATGAGGATAGCTTCGGGGAGAGAGAGTGATTAGAAGATGGGGCTGGAGTTGTGTGCTCAAGCCTATGTATGGTACCCTTTGGCCCTTATTTATAGACTTGGAGTCTTCAAAGGGAAAGGAGTAGGGGAAGTGAAGCTAACTAGAATTCATTTGGTTGGTCAGCTTACGTCGGTACTTAGATTTACACTCGGAGTAAACTGTAAACTTTGAGAAATTTTTCAGTGTGACCGTCACACGGAGTGGTACATCATGTGTCGCTATATAAATGGTGGGATATATGTGTTAAAAAGTTAATAACTTAAAAAATAAAATTTCCCACCACTTACATATATAAAAACATATGGTGTACCACTCGTGTTTCCGTCACAACTAAAAATTTCTCATAAACTTGATGTTTACTTTTCATTCTTCCAACAAAGATAGATATTCTAAATTACTCTTATTTGTGAGAACGATTTGGTTGGTCAATTTACGTCGGTACTTAGATTTACGAGTAATGATATTCCTACCATGTTTTTTAACCATATTTTCATATCATCTTAGGTGACAATTGATGTGGACAGCCACATCATTTGAATTAATCACATTTTTAAATTTAGCTCATTATTTAATAAACTAATAATTAAGAAAAACTAATTAATTAAATTATGATTGTGGTATACAAAGAGTCTTTCTCCTTATTTTCCTTGGGTTTTGCAAATTTTTCAAATTATGTGACTATCCACATCAGATGCCACCTAAGGTGGTATAGAAATATAATATGAATAACATACTCTAGATTTACACTCGGAGTAGATGTTTACTTCTTTTCTTTCTTCCAAAAAAGATAGATATTCTAAATTACTCTTATTTGTGAGAACAATTTGGTTGGTCAGCTTACGTCGGTACTTAGATTTACGAGTAATGATATTCCTACAATGTTTTTGAATCACATTTTCATACCACCTTAGGTGGCAATTGATGTGGACAACCACATCATTTGAATTAGTCATATTTTTAAATTTAGTTCATTATTTAATAAACTAATAATTAAGAAAAACTAGTTAATTAAATAATGATTGTGATATACAAAGAATCTTTCTCCTTCTTTTCCTTGGGTTTTGCAAATTTTTCAAATTATGTGGCTGTCCACATCAATGCCACCTAAGATGATATAGAAATATGGTATAAATAACATACTCTAGATTTACACTCGGAGTAGATGTTTACTTCTTTTCTTTCTTCCAACAAAGATAGATATTCTAATTACTCTCATTTGTGAGAACGAGTGTCTAAATTTGAGTACAAGAGGATTGACACGTTACTTGACCAACTGGTTAAATAATTTACAATTTATCACAAATAGTCTTTGAAATTGAAAATCAATTAATGTAATCCTTAAAATTGGGTGTTGCAAATCAATATAGTCATTCCGTCATAACTTTGTTAAAAATTTTGTTATGTGCTGATGTGTCATATAATTGGGTTCTACAATATAATAAAATATTGCTATGTGGATTAAAAGTAATAAAATAATAATTAAAAAACTATTTTATATAATTTAAAACAAACAAAAAAGGAGAAAAATAAGAAGAAGATGACTGTTCATCACCTTCTTCCCCTACTACCTGCGACCCAAAGGAGGAATTGCTGATGTCACCAGGGTTCCGATTTCATCCTACAGATGAAGAACTTATCACCTGCTACCTTATGAACAAGATAAATGATGCCACTTTTACTGGAAGGGCGATTGCCGATGTTGATCTCAACAAATGCGAACCCTGGGAACTTCCTGGTACGCATATATATAGTTTTCTAATCTAACCCTTGTTTTCAGTTCATCCGTCACATGCACAAATTCGATCTATTTCTATATATCCATAGTTTTGTAGTTTTGGCAATCAGCTTGTTAACCGTTAAAAGAACCCCAAATGAAACCTCCCCGATGTTGCTCGACCCGGAGGTGCAGGCCGTAGAGGAGTGCCGCTAAGAATTGGTGACGATTACATGTGCGACGGGGTGGGGTGTGATCGGGTGGGGACTAGGGTGGTTGCTCCGGTGAGAGTGGCAGTTGGAAACTGCATGTAAAAGGGTGCTGCTGGGTAGGAGGGGAAGAAGATGATGAACAGTCATCATCTTCTTCTTTTTCTCCTTTTGTTTTGTTTTTGTTTGGTTTTAAATTATATAAAATAGTTTTTTTAATTATTATTTTATTACTTTTAATCTACATGGCAATATTTTATTATATTGTGGAACCCAATTATGTGTCATATTAGCACATAACAGAATTTTTAACAGAGTTATAACCGAAGGACTACATTGATCGATTTTCAATTTCATGGACTACATTGATCAATTTTCAATTTCAGGGATCATCTTGATGGGGTGGGTCAATTTCAGGAACCATTTGTGATAAAAACCCTAACCAAATCAAGTATGAAAATAATGTAAAAAAAAAAGGGTAAATTACACAGTAGCCCCTCAGGTTTTGAGGTCTATTACAACCCCATACAACAACTTTAAAACATTTCACTTTCATACCTCAAGTACTATTTGATTTCAATATAATACATCCGTTAGATTTTCCATCCATTAATCCGTTAAATGCTGACGTGACTGCCAAATGTCTGCCTCGTGGCAAAAAAATAATTTTTAAATTTTCTTTTAAAAAACCTAAATTTTCTTAAAAAAAATGAAACCCACATCTGCAAGAAGAAGAAGAAGAGGGAGGAAGAAAGAAAAAGAAAAAAAAAATTGTCCCTCCCCTTCCCTAGTGACCTAGAAGAAGAAGAGGGAGGAAGAAAAGAAAAAAAAATTAAAACGAAACCCACATCTGCAGATGTGGGTTTCTTTTTTTCTTTTTTTTTTTTGAGAAAATTCAGGTTTTTTTAAAAATTAAAAAAATATTTTATTTGCCACATGGCAGACATTTGGCAGCCACGTCAGCATTTAACAGATCAATAGATGGAAAATGTAACGGGGGTATTATTTTGAAATAAAATAATACTTAAGCTCTGAAAGTGAAATGTTTTAAAGATGTTGTAAAGAATTGAAATGGACCCCAAACCTGATGTATGAAAGTGTAATTTACCCAAAAAAAAATTGATACCTTTTTGTTTAGGAACGAAACAAACAACTCCCCTTTTTGGCATAATTTACATAATTTACAAACTTTATGTTTAGACAAAAATTGTTGAATGATACCTATACATACAAACTCATTCTTCGTAAGTATAAATGGAAGCAGATCCCCTTCAGATCCAATAAAACTGAGCCTACTGAACAAGCGATCCGGGTTGTTGAAATTTGATCCAACGGTTACAAGCAGATGTGGGTTTCTTTTTTTCTTTTCTTTTTTTGAGAAAATTCAGGTTTTTTAAAAAATTTAAAAAAAAATTATTTGCCACGTGGTAGACATTTGGCAGCCACGTCAGCATTTAACAGATCAATAGATGGAAAATGTAACCGAGATATTATTTTGAAATAAAATAGTACTTAAGGTCTGAAAGTGAAATGTTTTAAAATGTTGTAAAGAATTGAAATGAACCCAAAACCTAAGGTATGAAAGTGTAATTTACCAAAAAAAAATTGATACTTTATTGTTTAGGAACGAAACAAACAACTCCCCTTTTTGGCATAATTTACAAACTTTATGTTTAGACAAAAATTGTTGAATGATACCTATACATACAAACTCATTCTTCGTAAGTATAAATGGAATCGGATCCCCTTCAGATCCAATAAAACTGAGCTTACTGAACAGGCGATCCGGGTTGTTGAAATTTGATTCAACGGTTACAAACAGGAAGCCCTCTAAAAGTTATAATAATTGTAACCGTTTAATCAAATTTAAACGGTCTAAATCGTCTGCTCAGCAGACTCAGTATATATGAATCCGGTTACAATATAAATCACTTACATTACAAGTGCAGTATCACTTCCCCATCTCTCTCTCCTTATTTTATTTCAAAACAAATTATAATGGTTTGTCGTTTGTGTTCTCCTTTTTTTTTCTTCTCTCTTTCCGTTGTTCCTTTTAATCTTTGGATTATTAGACTAGTGGTGTTTTATTGGCCAAAACAATAATATTTGTCCATTTTGGTACATATTCGATCTCATCAATTTCTTTATCTTTAACATTTAATAATTTAACCTACTAATATCATTGTTTGTCAAAAAGAAAAAACCGTAGGATTACCGGAAAAGAGAAAGTTCAAAGCATGGCCACTAGCCAGCTAATTACAAAGCCAGGAAATGAAACTATCATGTGTGCGAACAAAAGAAGAATATTTTCGCACAATCTCTAAGATAATTATCTTGATACCATCTCTGTACCTGAAATTTATCGCTGTTTGATCTTTATTATTGGTTAAGATGAAGATATGAATTTAACTAAGTTATTATAGTACGTAATGTGTTTTATCATCTGCGTTTAAGTTAGGATCCCCATCACTGTAGTTTAAATTAACTTGGTGTTATAATTCCTATCATTTGTCAAAAATACAGATTCAAAAGAATCGTTGAAAAAAAAATTCATGCTTAAACTCGTTCATGATGCATACATAGAAGTAGTCAGGTTCATAGTCATAATCACTGATGCAAACCGTGAAGGAAGGGAAAAGGCATATGGGATCCACAGACACTGTTTTACTTTTACTTTTTAGAAGAGAAGCCGACTGATCAGTTTGTGTAGATCATGCCCTCGCTAACTAAGTTTTATTCCCTCTAACATATGGCAGCATATGACATATACACACAAATAAATAGCTCTCAGTCATGACTCACTGCAGCATATATATCTTCTTTCACAATTATATCCCATCGGTTTTTCAAATATAAATACAAAATATTATGTGGTGGAGAATTTAGGATTAGGTTAGCGATTCTAATTTGATAATCAATTATGAGATTTAATTCTATTTATAAGTGAAGAAGAATGCTATTAAATCGTAGAATGAAATAACTATAATTCACTGGTTTAATTTGACATATATATGTGGAGCCAAAAATATTTCCTAGGCGACACGTGGACTTTTGGACAAAAGAGGACAAAAATGCCTCTGAGGCATATCGGGATTCCTACGTGCAAGCAG